ATCTCAAAAATACTTGTGTGTACAATTTGCCAGGATTTCATTATGCTCCAAGTCACAAATCAGGCCCGGGGGCAGGCAAAGGTTTAGTTTGGCACCACAAGTACACAAAAAAATCATAGCTCAAACAGACACTGATCTGAAATGGATATGTGGAAGTACACTTTAATTCCTGTTTAATAAATGGGGTTTTTCTTACATACACTATACCTTTTGGGATTACCTATCAAAAGGCCTTYAGAAGTTCTCCAGCAAATCCTGGAAAACGCCTTGAAGAAACAYCGCATACAGTAGTGACATTTTCCTCTTCCCAAAATGTACTTCAGTCTCACCAGATCAATCTTCCTTCCCATCCTCCCCTCTCTGGCCAGCTCCTTGGTGGCTCATGCCTCCCCTCTCTGTGTGAGCCTTGTTATTCCAGTTTCCACAGGCAGGCTCCCACAGACCTTTCCCTGGATTTCTCAGACTCATTCTGTCACTTCCACTCTCTGCATGCCGCCTGCCTTGTGTACAAGTTTAGTCATCTAGTGCTCAAGGCTTCCCACATATTTACTTGTCTGCTGTTTCTCCTTTCCTGTTAAAACGCTTGTTATCTACAGGCAAAATCAAAATCACAGTCTACACTCAAACTTTTCACACACACAACTGCACCCCTGCTTGAGAGCTGCAACAGAGATAAATATGAAAGACCACGAGCATTCTGACCACTGCAGTATGTCTGCCTGCAGCTATAAGAACCAGTAACTGCCTGAAACATTCTCACACAGCTTCAGAAAGAAACAAAATCWTTTTGTCTATCTGCCTGCCCACCATAGCCTGTTATATCCCTTAGTAACTTCAGAATCTGTCACCTGCATTTCTGCCAAATTTGTAAGAGGAATACTTGCATGAGCTTTACAAAAAMCACAGGCCAGATAGAGGACAGACGTCTTGAGAAGCCAAGGACAAGTGGGTAAATATCCTGAATCTTTCCCAGCTGCCTGCACAGCAAACAGGAACACCTGACTCAGCTGGCTGCACAAATAAGGACAGGGTGGATAGGGAGAGAGGCAGCACCTGGGTGCAGCCCTGGGGAAGGAGAAGCTACCGGGCACTGAGACCAGTAGGAGCCAGGCAGGAGCTGCTGGGGTAGGATGTGGCAAACAGCTCCTCAGGAAATCAGGCTGCACTAATCCTCCTCACAGAATGACTTTCCAGCAAGCACTGTTTCCTATGGAAACAAAGTTTATATAATCACACTTTTCACTTGGATCCACCAGCTACTTCCAAACACATCTGAGAAGACAGTAGATATTTGGAAGATGGGGTTAATGTGTTTATTGGAAGCTGACAGCTGTGGGTGCTGCAGGAAGGGCTGTGGCATTGGCTCAACAGCRTCTGCTTGCCTTGGCCATGTGGGCAACCCGTGTGCACAGCTGGGACTGGCACAGAGCTGGGAATGCACTGYGGGCAGTGAGGGACTGGGAGCACTGAAATGGGAAATAGTCCTGGACAGGGGCAGCAGCCAAGGGCAGTGATAGAGAGGGTGCTGAGATCTGGTYAGAAGACAGACAGAACAACTCTCCCTTGTCCCCATCCCAGTCACTGACATTCCACCGGACCACTGCAGGTCAATAAAGAGAGCTGGAAATGCTTTAGGGAGTCTTGCTCTACTTGGGAATGAAGCCAAGACAGGGAGAACATTCTGCAGTTTCCCTTCTCCACTTGACA